AGTACAAAACAATATGAGATATTGGGACACAAATTCATTAGAACTCCAGAATTGAGAGAGAATTTATTGTATTTGCTTTGCCTTTATTTCTGGAGTTAAGACTAAATAGGATTTGCAAGTGAGGGTAGCTGAGCAAAGAGAAAGTAAGGCTGTCTGAACTAAGCAGTTGCCTAGCATACGACCTCTTAAGTTGACCAAAATGTCAGGTGAGACATGCTAAGTTAAAAAAAAAAACTGAAACAGTAAAACTGCAGCTTCATGCTTCATGCAGCTGGATTATTTTCACATTGTAAGAACAGTGTATGTCTCAGATTTGGACTAATTATTACAAGCTACAAATCACAAAGTTTAGTAGGCAAATATTTCTACTTCAAATTCCAGTGAACCCATGGAGGGGGGGGAAGAATATTGCTAGTGCATTATTCATTGGAATGGTGATGTGGCATTTGCAGCGTTGGCCGTCTTTCTTCATGATTCCCTACATGGTTATGGAGTTCCAGTTGTCCTTAGGTGAGTAACTTCTCTCTCCAGATAATGTTTATGCTTCCGGAAAAGATTGCTTCACATGAGCAATGATACTTACAAGTTAATGAATAAAGAACTTTTTGGCCACACAAGACTCAGACTTCAGTTAAAAAAAATGCTCATGAGATTCACTTACTGCATTTTACTGAAATTTTAATATTTAGCAAACAGGCAGGTATTGTAGGAGTTTCTCAAGAATTATTTCTTCTTATTGCCGGTAGGCAGATTAGTTTGACTATCAAAGTGTAAGTTTCTACTTCTCCATTCTAAGGCAATTCCTTCATTTGTCCGGCATTTTTCCATGTAATTGGCACTTCTAAAAAATGTATTTATAGTAAAGATGTTTGTAAATTTAAAATCAAAAACTGATTTGAAAATAAAATTAATCAGTTATCTTTTTGTAGTTCAGGTGGGTTTAATTGTATATATTTCTACAAATCTGTTGAATTTTGGGTGTAGTCTTCATAAAGCAGTATATTAACAATCCTGCGTATTTCTTGTTATTCTCTGTCTTGGCTGCCCCTGATTTAAATACTCTTCACTTCCACATTTACCACCACCACCAGATTCTGTTGATGCAAACCACAGTTGCACTTATTCTTGGCTGAGACAGAATGTCTGTGTTCTGTAACTCTTAGGATGCTGCTAATGGTTTCTACAAACTGGCTTTGGAACAGGTGCCTGGGAGCAAAACTGTAAGGTTACCATTTTGCTTGCTATTTCGTTACCCTTTGTGGGAAAATTCCGTTCTTCCACTGTTGCGTGCAGCAGGCTGGTAAAGGAGTTTCTGGCTCACAGGAGTTCTAGATTTCATTTTTATTTTCAGTGGGTCTGTCTAGGGGATCGCTTATTTTCTCCAGCTTATGCAGTGAGGGAAGTTTTGTACTGCAAAGATGTGATTTTTCTTTTCTGATTTCTTTCCGTAGTCTGCCATCTTCAACTTTCAGAGTCTACTGACTGTAGTCTTGCTGCTCATATGTACCTGTGCCTATGTGAGATCCTTGGCTCCCAGCTTACTGGACAAAAATAAAACTGGGTATGTAGTCTGATCATTTTAAAAATACACAACCTGTTTGGTTTTAACTGCAGTGTTTTACTTTTAGTATGTTCTAATGATTCACAATAACACAAATCCTATCTTGAAAACTTTCTTCTTTAAAGATAAAAGTCTACATCTTATACCTTACAATAGAAGGCAATGAGGTATTTCCAAGCACTTAGTTGCAATTTTTTAGTAGGAGTTTATTAACTAACAAAGCCAGCTAATATTGCTTCATTAGTTATTTTCTAGACTTACAACTTTCTCATTAGGTGCTTATTAAAGATACAGACACGAGTGACAAAAAGAAAACATTTTTGTACATACAGCTATTGCTCTAATAATTTATTTTTTATCCTTAAGGCTGGATAAAAAAACATTAACAGCAGAAACTGTCTTTTTGTTTGTTTTAAAAATAGGCAGAGTTTGAAACACAGTGCCAGAAATAATTTGTAACTAAAAAAAATGGAAACTATTTTTAAAAATAAGCAACATTATCCTTCTGTGTGGTCTCTTTAATTAATTTTTTTGTATTCTTCAAGGAATTTGTAACAGAGTTTCTGAAAGTGTCTACAAAACCTAACGTTTTTTTTTGTGTATGTCCTTTGGTCACTATAACCTCATCTCTCACTTTTATTCCTAAATCACATGTTCCTACTTTTTCTCCTTTGTGTTCCACATTCTGGATTGTGCTTAATGCTGCAGGGCCAACACTGCTGCAAAACAGTGCTACTCTACCCTGTTCGGCAGCACAGTTTTTGGGGTGATGGGAAACGGGGACAGCTGCAGGGTCAAATCTGTGCCTCACTTGCACCATTAATACCCGTTCACCTTTTGGCTTATTGTGCTACAAAGAGTGTGATGGGATGTTGGGTGCAACAGCAGCATGCAGAACTGTGATTTCGATGCTGTGCTTTAAAAGTAATGATTGCACGATTTTGACCTAGAAACCACTGAGGCTGTCCGTAGTGTTTCACTAGTACTGTCACCTAAGGGTAATACAAGGGAGATAACATTGATAGAAGTAGGAGGTAATTCGAGCTGATAATGTTCTAGCTGGAAAAAACAGACAAGCCTTTAGGCACTGGGTGTTTGACTTGTCCACTTTTTCCGTTAGGTCATTTGCTGTTAAAATGTTTTTTCCCTAAGTATCTTCTGTCACTTCTGCATTTAATTTTCAGAAAAAGTGTCAAGTTTTAAGTAGGCTCTAGTCACCAAGAACCTTAAGTGTTTGTCTTCTGAAAACCTTTGTTGTAATGAACCTCTGGAATTACTATTTCATCACACAAGTTTTCTTTTAGCAGTGTCAGATACCCAAAGTGCGCTAGTTTTTTTTTTAATTTGAAATTCTAACATGAAAATGCTTGGAACATTTCATATGAGGCCATGAGTTTGCCAATGATGTGAGAGATTTCTTTTGATAAAAGTAAAGATGGAAAGAAAGGGTGACTTTATGAAGGACTTGTGGGAGAGGGGGAGGGGAATTTCGGTGTCTGGTAGCGGAAGATAACACAATAGTCAATGTGGTATACACAGTGAGAAGTAAGAATATTTATTTTACTGATTAAAATTTTAGTGCTGTTCTTGGCAAAGAGTATTTCCTTTAATCTGGAGCTACTCTGTTTATTCTTGAGTCAAATCTGTCTGGAGTACAATAGAACTCTATTCATAAAATGTTTTCAAAGGGTGCTGACACAGTGGAGGAGTTGGGCGCTTGATCTGTGGGTTTGTATTTATATAGATGTTGGACATACTATTTTATTTTTGTTTTACATATATGCATGTAGACTACTTTGTACTGGAGAATAAAACATTGGCGTGGAAGCAATGAAAGTTGTTTAGTGAATGGTAGATGTTTACATGGAGCTCACGTGCTCTTTAAACCCCTGTCCCTCTACACGAAATATTCCATGCACAAATGGAAACGTCTAGACATACTGGATAAAATGAATGCTAGTGATATTTCATTTTACCACAGAAATGATCTTACCTCATTATTCCTGCTCCAAATCACTAGCATTAAAAAGTAGCAATAAAAGTTTAAAGTGACAGAGAGGAGAAATGTTGATAGTTGTTCACTGTATTTCTGACTGAGTGGTAACGTTGGTGAAGATTTAAATCTGTTTGTAGTATGTAGAGAAGCATGTTTCTGTTGATTGAGAGACAGTTGCAAAGTGATGTCACCTGTCCTCATAATGCTGTATTTCATCCTGTTGACTTCAGTCAAAATGTGTCTTTTCCTACCAAGCCAAACAGAATTTTAAACCTTCATTTTCCCTGACACATTTTGAATGATTCCATGTGCTTTATCCTGAGCAATAGCATTTAAGCTTGGGAAAGCAAGTGGAGATTTACTGTTTCATGCTGACTAGAGGAGAATGTGTACCACGACAGAATTCTCTCTTCCCAGCTAACCAGAAGGATGTGTCAGCTGATACGCCACAGAGATTTCCTCTGACTTGCCATAAGCGGTGCAGCGTCTCTCACACTCCCTCCTGCAGTGGCGGTGGGGTTGTCCTGGTAAACACGTGGCAGCTGCATTTTGCAGCATTCCCACTCTAGCAGCCAAAGTCTAAAGCCCCACTAATGCTTTCTCATCTTACTGGGTTTCATTTTGGGGGTTTTTTTTGCTCTCCAGATAACCAATACCACTTTTATGATCAGTGCTTTTAACATTGACGCTGAAAGCCAGGAATACGCAGGAGCTCACGCGCATTTGGCTTGGGGCTGCCAGAAAGCAGCAGATATGCAAGCCAGACTGACACATTTCACCTGCATCAAAAGAAGGATGAAGTTGAACATGAAGGGGAGAATAAGGAACAGTGCCATTACTTTGAGCAGTTGCTTCAGGAGGAATTGGTTTGGAGCAGATTCATTTAAGGCAGCATTGTTTCTGTAATAGCCAAACAGGTTTTGACTTGAAGAGGTGCATGTTGTGAACCTGAGATAAACAGTAATGGAAAAATTCAGGAAAGCAGAAGGCCTGCACAGGCTTTTTCTTCCAATATGAGCTCTCCAGTTCATCCAGAGGCTGTGGTTATAGCTGTTTAGAAGGTCCAGAGTTCGATTTGCTTTTGCTCAGCAGCAAACTATGTGGACAAATAGATGTACTTCGCTGTTCCAGTAGCAGTACAAGCCTTTTAAAAAGGCACTGCTGTCATCTGTTGGAAAGTGTCTCAGTCAGTCCTCATGTCAGTGGTGACTTTAAGTTCATAAATTATTAACTCCAGTAAGGGTTGCTGATGAAACCCAGATTCTGACTGTTTTGTACCTCCTTCATCAGAAAAGAAAATTCATATTTTCACCAAGATAGCAGTTTTCTAGGGCTAGGAACAATGTACAGTATTCCAATAATAACTTTACATTGCTACACATGGTTGAAAAAAAACCTGAGAAGGCGAAGAAGTACCCTTGCTGAAATCGTGAGGTAAATTCAACAGATTTATACACTGCCTGAAGGAGTTAATATTTTTTTCCCAGGTAAGATTCTTCAAATATACATATGAAAAGGACAGTAATGTTTTATTTCTTTGAGTTCCTGGACACGTTTTTGAGAGATGGCAACATGAGGTGCTGGGCTGTGGAAGTTTTTGTGTTGGGTTTGCAGCATGCAATATGTAAATCTTAATTTTACAGGAAGTAACAACAGTTTCGAGAGTCTTACGGACCATCCACACAGTACTATGGGGCTATCTGTTTTACTCTGCAAGATTTACACATGAATGCCTTTTTACCTGCATGCTTCTTCAAAAAGTGCATAGATGTCTTCAGGTTATTTCTCTGTATGACTTCTTAGACTGAACAAGTGTGATAGTCTACATGCAGGGATTATTACTTCTGCTTGTGAAGCTATATAAAAGCAGGAAAAATGAGCTTTGACTATACAGAAATACTGTTGGCTTGAGGTAAAATGATCTAAAACACAAATGAAGAAAACTGTTCTAAACATGAAAATGTTGGAATACTCTTCACAATAAATTGGTCGGCAAGAAGTACATCAGTCGAAAAGCATTTCACTTTGAGTTTGAAAACCGCAGTCACTTGCTGCCTCTTGGGAGAATTGGTTCTCACCTGCCCAACACCAGACCTTTGTTTCAGAAATAAAGGGGAAGGCTGCTAAAAGTAAAAAAGGATTGATGCTGAAGTAAACTAAGACCATAAAAGAGACCATAAAATATGAAGTAGCATAGACATTCTTTTTTTGAAAAGTGCAGGATGTGTTGAATGCTGAAGTATGCAAGGGCAAGTGGCCTAAAACTACCTGTGTACATTGAAGCAAGAAAAAAATAGGCAGTTGCTAGAGCCCAAGAAAGGGGGAAGATGGTAATCAAACCATTTCGTGGATATGGGTTTAGAGCACTGCAGGAAAGCATTCGGAGAACTGCCATCACAGCAGGTAGGAGATACAACCCCACATATAACATAGACTGAAGTTACTGCTGATAAATGTATCAGGAGAAGGAGGAAAAATAATCAAGTTTGGTTTTAGTCCATAAATCTATTAACAGACAATATAGTTAAATCCAGATATTTTTATTGCATTGCAACCAGTCATTCTATGAGGGAACCTTCCTGCAGACAAGCTTTCAACACAGTTTTGGCCAACATTTGAAAGGCTGAAAGCTGGCTTCTAGTTCAGGATGCTGCAGTATTTCTTCCCCGCTTCCTCTTCAGGTTCTAAAGCAGTCCCTGCTCTTGTTCCTCTTGAGCAGTCATTAGGAGATTATTATTAGAAATTACAAATTTGTGGTGTACATGCTTGTATATCCCTTTGGATGTGCTCCGAATAGTTGAATCCTGCTTTTCTCCTTTGTTACTTCACTTGCAAGAATTAACACTCTGAGCAAGCAGTATTAGAGAGACACGAACATGGTAAACCTTGGTAAAAGAGTAAAAAGACACATGAAGAGTTGTTTTGTTGTTTATTTCAATGCAAGTATTCTGTATCAGATTACATCTAGGAGTGTGCTCTGCTAGAAAAGGTATTTTTTATCTACCATCACTAAGGGAAGTAGAAAAGAGAGACTAAAAAGCATTAAACTGAATGTACTCAGGTTTATCAGCTCTCATACCTGCGGGAAAACTTCCTTCAAAACCGTAACATATGAAGTTTCCCATATACAGTGACATGAAGGCCTGTTGGTATTTCCTGCTCCAGTACTTTTCTAGCTCTGTGGTTTGTTTTTTTTTCTTTAAGTAATTTTCTGTCTGGGGTACTTTAAAGTAGAATGTAGCATTCTGATGAAATCTTTAGATTTGGAACACAGACTGAATAAATGCATCTTTGTTTTTCTTGCATGCAAAAAACCTTGCTAGACTTCAAAAGAACTTTGCCACTTGTTTAGTTGGTAGCCTTTACCCCTCTGTGCAAGTGTTTTCTGATGTCGATAATAGTGTCAAGTTGACAAATTATGGTTTATTTGGATTGTTTTTGCATAGAAGAGAGAAAATCAGTTGACTTATTATTTTATTAAATCAAGAGCCTAATGAATTTGTTTTATCTTTACAGACTGTTGGGAATATTCTGGAAATGCGCCAGGATCGGTAATCTTTTTTGTTTGAGATCTTTAAGACCAGTGCATTATCTAGACTATGCATTGTTTATTAGAATAATGTTTCCATGTAGCAATGAAACCCCTATTCATACATAATCTTTAAAAATGCAGATTTTTACCTCCATGAAATGGTGGAGGGGGATATGCCTATCTTACTTAGCGTTATGGAAGCCTGCATTTTCTAATGTCAATTCATGTATGTGGTGGTATGTTTGCACAAATCTTTTGCAATACTTGAAATAACCAAGGGTATACCTCTTATTAACATATAAACAAATCAGTCATTCCTTATAAACTGCTCTCTATTTGAAGTTCTAATGGACTACTGACACAGCCAGATATTTACTTTATAGTAATAAAACAACATGGAATTCATATGCAGTAAGGTTCTGTTTAATCACAAATGTCTTTTTTCTCTCCTTTCCTTAGTTAGCTTCTGTGCACTTTTGAATTACGCAAAGCTGTTGGTGTCAGGTGGCGTCTGTATGGAGATTGATCAGCTCTGTCTGATCTTAGACATTTTCCCATAACATTCCTATTTGTATTTATTTTAATGCTTATTCTGAATTTATTTTGAGAAGGAAGTGGAACTGTACAACAGAAGTTCAGTCTTAGCATTAAGACAAATCCAAGATTTTTAAAAAATTACAAATCCATTATCAAAACAGTGTTCTTCAAATTGCATTGTTTAATGCAGAGTAGAAACATTGAACTTGTAATTCTAGATCTTCCTAGTTGTTGTTGAACCTAAAGGAAAAATGTATGATTCCCTTTTCTGCGTTCTCAGGCTTTGAAAGGGACATGACATACATTTTTCAGTATGTCAAAAAGCATTGATGCAAAAAACAGGTTTTTGTGAAGACCTGTTGTTAAAATGTTGGCAGATATTGTTCTAGTTAGATAATAGGCATAGCAGAACCAATTTTAATATTGTAATTGAATGAGACTGGCGAGGTGACAGCTGTGAGAAATGAATTTTGAACTATACCAGCAAAAACAAATGTAGAAATTCAGCTGCGTTAAGGTTTGTCCAAGATTGAGTAGAACACTTTACCTTACCTTACCTTACTGTCTTGTTTTCAGTTAATTAGGTGCAAACATATTTTTTCTGTTAGCTATGCACAGCAAGAAGTTTAAAAATTATTTAAAAGAGTACACAAGATGTTTTATGAGGTCACAATAAAGAACTGCAGTTCATCTAGGATGAACTGAAGTCTTGCTTTCGCATCATGTAGTAACATTAACATGTTTGCATTTGCTGCATCCAAGGTAATACATGCATTCTTGTGCCCCATACTGAACTCCTTCCTTCTCTCTTTTTCCTGTAAAGCACAAATTTCTTTTCAACTTACATCCGGAGTAGTCCAGTTTGACTTTTTATTTCAACTGACAGATGAGGAGGTAGCATCTTAACGTTCCTCCTGTACGATTCCTTACATAACATTACCATATCCACGGGACATGGGCTTTGAAGATGATTCCTGTCATCTTATTTGTGCTAATCACAAAGGCATGTAGAAAGTGTAGGGTTTTAAAAATGAAAATGCCCACTGGCTTTCTTTACATATAACTTGCCCAGTATGTTTCAACAACCTTTTCACATGAGCATAAGACTTTAATAACCAGCAAGTGGTTACGTATTTACAAAGTTGTGCAAAATGATGTTTAATCCTGCCACATGGTGATTTCTCTTTTAAGAAAATTAAGAGCAAGAAAGTGTAACCCATACAAAAAGTGTAATAACCTAAACTGTAGGAGGTGGACTTCCTCAAAAATTTATCTTAAACAGATGTGAGACTGCAGACAGTAATTCATTCAATTATTTGAAGTTTAATTAAATATATGCCAGATCATGACAACATCTTGTAATGTCACTGTGGCGGGCACTTCTGCTTATAGGAGGTATCACTACAACGATTTTATTTTTCTGCTGGTATGGAAAGTTTGTTCCTCTATTTGAAGGTCCTGCTGGTAAAAGAGACTTTTTCTTCTGAGGATTACACCTTAATGCTAGACTTGGGAGCCTTGGCAGTTTTTCTCTCTTAACGGAGTAAACAATTTTCATCCATGGTCTGCCCTGGCAAACTGTGACAGGCCATGCTGAAAAGATTCTCCCCAGCTTTCTTACAGGCCCCTTCAGGTACTGAAAGGCCGCAGTAAGGTCTCCCCACAGCCTTTCCTTCTCCAGGCTGAACAGCCGCAGCTCTCACAGCAGAGGGGTTCCAGCCCTCGGATCATTTCTGCGGCCACCTCTGGCCCTGCTCCAATAGATCCAGGTCTGTCCTGTGCTGAGGGCTCCAGTGCTGGACGCAGGACTCCCGAGGAGGTCTCAGCAGAGTAGAGCGGAGGGGCAGAACCCCTTCCCTCGCCCTGCTGCCCATGCTGCTTTGGATCCTATCCTTCATCTAAGTTTTCCCACCCCCGTGTGTGTTCTTCCTCAGTACACAACTGTAGTTGCAATACCATTTCTGCAGCTAGAAATGTTGAGTATTAATTTGCATGGGCAATGGGATAATTACCATGTTAGGCTAGGAGCAGCCTAGATCTGTTTAGTTGTGCCTGAATTCTTGTTTGCTTTGGGTTTTTTCCCTCCTCTCAGGTGAACGGAAGAGTCCCTATGTGGCTGTGTGTTGTGTCGTGATGGCCTTCAGCATTCTGTTTGTACAGTAGCAGCTGGAGAGTGTCCCCTCCACCCTACCACCAAAAGCAGAGCATGGAAGAACTTCTGGCAGGAAAAGATGGGAAAGCGTCGTCAAGCCTCCGCTTGCACATTGGATAGTCTGTCTCTTAGTGGACAGCCCCCTCCCCCCCACGTAAATGGACCACCATGTACAGTATTAGTAATCATAATGTAACTCCAGGTGACACAGATGACATGTACTTATGAATGTCAAGTCAGTCAATACTGACACTCCTGATGTAACTCGTGAAAGGAAGCGTGCCTGGTGTATATCTGAGTTTCAGGGGAGCCTTTTTTATATCATACAGTTGAGAAGGCTTTTAATTTTTGTCTAGATAGACCTGTTTAATGAAACTTAAAAATGATAAATCTGGCAATAGCAATAAGACTGCCCTTATAGGAATAAAGAACATTGTGACTCTAGGATATGTTTATGAAAGTATTTTCAGTTCTTACTTTCTGAACAATTCCTGTCACTTTTTGATAGCTATACCTGCATACTAAAAATGTGACCTCAGGACTAAGTCACATTCAACTTCTGTTTTCTAAACTTGTAATTGGCTCAGATAATCTATTCAATATTTTTATTGTTAAGATATGAAAAAAGGCAGGAACCATAACTGCAGTAAAGTCTGTCTGCCTAGCTGATGATGTGGGATTTGAGAATGTGGACTGCTCTGTGTTAAATATGTGTATTCATTTTTAGAGATGTAGGTCTCAGGTAAATCATTCCCCAACTTTTTTCAATGTTGTGACAAAATGATTCTAAATATCCTGCTGCTGCTGTTGCATGTAATACGAGGTTGCTAAATCAGCTAAGTGAATAGTTAGCTTCTTAGGAGTCTGCAGATAAGGGAGTTGCATGTCCCAGTATTCTAAAGGTTAAAGAAAACAACTAATTTAGGTTACATTTATAATTAATACAGATTAGATACCTTTATTAATACTTGTTATTAGCATTTATTCTGTAATTTTGCAAACTTTCAGTAATGTAATAACTTATTTTAATAGTGCCTGACAAGTGTTTATACTAGACAACTATAGACTTCATATTGACTGCATTTGAGAGAGTTGTCTGTCAGCAGTATTTTTGTTGTTCTGAAAAGATGTGTGGTCAGAATGAGCTAAGCTGGCAATAAAACACACTGAAATGTATGTAACTTGTTACGCTTGTTTGAAAAACTTAAATGTGTTTCATAGATCCAAATTACCCTGCATTTAGAAAGAATGTGATTATTAGCTATTACCTTTGTATTATCTGTCATATACCTGCATGTGTGAATCACCGTCAGAAGTATTCATCCAAAACTCTTTTCTAATCTGGAGCCAGGAAAAATAGGTTTATCCTATTTTGGCCAAATAAATGCCCCTGGCTGTAAACCAGGCAGGTTCAGAGAAGTACAGTGCTGTATGATGATGACCATAATGTGCACCGTAAACTGTGCAGGAGAGCTGGGGAGAGGCAAAATCTATTTCTCTAAATGTTTATACTGGTCCGAACATAGCATCAGAGAAACTTATTTCTGAATTTCAAAGGTGCCATACTGGGGGAGGGAAGTTCCTAAGGAGTCTTGGGTTTTGACCGTTGGGTGTGTACATGTTCAAAATATGCAAGGAATCATCATTAACATTTTAAGTTAAGCAATTCTAGTTTTTAATATTTGTATGACTTTGTTATAAATAATGGTGGTTTTATTATATTCACACATTTCCAATTCATCTGAAGCGGTCCTAGTTATCAGATTAATTTGTAATATTTTATGTTTAGCTGTGACTAGGAATACCAGTGAAACAACCCAAGGAGTTTTTTTAATTCTGAGAATCTGAAAACTATTGACATGAAGGCATTGTATTGCAAAAGCCATTCCTGTTCACAGGATTTTATCATTCAAGAAGTTCAAAGAGGCCTAGGCCTCTTCCTGTTTGTCATTTGTTGTTCAGACCTTAAAATTATTTCTTATACAGTAGTTCTACATTTTGTCCTGAATGTGGGTCATTGATGGATACTTCCTAGTTTGAGATTTTTTTTTATTTTCCACTTTATATGACATTTACAGGATATTCATGACTTACTAGCTGCATAGTTGCTTAACAGTGCTACTTTAGCAGCAAAATAAATAACACCTTTCTCAGCAGCTGCTGGCAGTATCTAAGTTCAGCGGCATTAGGTTGCATGCAAGCATTGGAAAATTACTGTAGGCAGACATAAGTGTCATCTGTGGTGGGGTCGCTCAGCTCTTGCCTCTGGTAAAAATATCTGAAAACAGGATCTTTAAAATGTGACAAACTTCAGTTATGAAATTACTGCTTTAGGCAGGTGTTTGCCTCTGGATGGATTTTCTGTTTTTCAAAACTGTGGCTTTGAAGAGATTGATACCTCATGTTTCTTACTAAGATGGGAACAAAATACTGTTTTCCCGTGTTAGAATATTAAAGCCATTTTGCTTTCTGTGCTTTCATTTTCTCATGCAAAAGAGACGTGGGAAACCAAGAATACCTTGACATTTGACGAAGGCATACATGCTGTGGGAAGGAAGGGGAGAGTGTAACTTTGGGCCCACACACTTAGTAAAGCTTTACAACAAGTCATCCGTAAACTCTCAGCCTGAACTGAGTCATTTTCAAAGAGCAGTTAATAAGTTCCAGTAGAGCTCTGTCAGAAGAGGTGTCAGGGAAAATAGTCTTCTTTTGCACTCAGTCTTCGCCCCAAGGCCTACACTGAGTAGAGATGAAATGCTTATTACCAGGTTATTTAGGTGCTGAAGTAGCCTTAAAATGGCAGATACACAATTGTAGGATTTGACATAAGTTGTCAGAGTAGGTAATGGCTAGCACAGGTGGCTGAGAAGACAGCAGCAGGAGTTTCTGACTGAAATACAGGAGATTACAACCGCAGCAAGTCACAGAATCACAGAATGGTAGGGGTTGGAAGGGACCTCTGTGGGTCATCTAGTCCAGCACCCCTGCCGAAGCAGGGTCACCTACAGCAGGCTGCACAGGGCCTTGTCCAGGTGGGTCTTGAATATCTCCAGAGAAGGAGACTCCACAGCCTCCCTGGGCAGCCTGTTCCAGCGCTCCGTCACCCTCAGAGGCAAGAAGTTCTTCCTCACTTTCAGACGGAACTTCCTGTGCTTCAGTTTGTGCCCATTGCCCCTTGTCCTGTCGCTGGGCACTACTGAAAAGAGCTTGGCCCCATCCTCCTGACACCCACCCTTGAGATATTTGAAAGTGTATATTAGGTGTGCTCGCAGCCTTCTCCAGGCTGAACAAGCCCAAGTCTTTACACCTCGTCTTACATAGAGGTGACAGAAGGTGCACAGGGAGTGAATGGAATAGTGATTGCATATGACTTACGCTGTAGTTGAGCTTGCTACTGTAGAAGAGTGCTTTTGCTTTGGGGCTTTATCCTTTTATGTGAAGAGCATTGTGGATGGTGGCTCTAACATCTGGCAAGCTTCCGCATCTGTCGTTGTTGCACACATGGCACGGAAGGTGAGGGTGGCTTAGGCTGTGGTTTTATGTGCAGCTCAGAGGAGGAGTCCCATCTGTTTTACTCTACTAATGAGAGAACAATGAGAATGCAGGAGTATAGAAGAGCATTTTCCAGTAAGACAGCATACCTTGGATCAAAATTAGCAACTTGAAAAATGTCAGATGTTCTCCATTCTAAGAACTGCACAAGCAAAAGGAACAGGTACAGACTCTACATCTTGTGTTTGGCACAAGATGGAGGCATGCTCTCTGCGGTGTTTTATGTTTGTGATTGCAACTCATATAGACATACCTGAGCTGTCCTGTGGATTGACAAAATGGCAGGCAAGGGTAGGAGTCCATCTGCAAGCCCTTCCCTTCTCAGGCACTGACTGAGCTGAGCTATGTGCTGCCACAGCTGTGTTTCTGTTGCTTCACTAAAGGTGTATCAAGCTAAAATTTGCTAAAATGGCACAAATTTGCAATCTTGGAACCAAAAGTGGCAGTCTGTTTGCTCTACGCAAATCCAAATTTACTGCTTAACAATGCAACTGATAATAAATTAATGCAATAAAACCTGAAACGTGATGTGTTGTTCTCTGAAAACACAGAATATTTTATGCCCTTGCATTACTTGCTATGGCTTAATGTTATATTAACTTTCATCCACATCTGCACTCTAGGTGACCTTGGATTCAAAGCGGGGATTTAGAAAGACTAAGTTGAAGAGCAGTAGTAGCCATGTTGGGAGATGAGTAAAGCATGAGTAAGAGATGGGATCACCATACAGGTCTGATGTTCTGGAGGGACTGATAAGTAAATGGGCAGACATAGCTGGTGGAGGAGGAAATAAAAAGTGGAGTCCAGGGATGACTCGAAGATTTTGTGTTCTTGGAACAATGTTCTTGTTCTATGAATGCCCTTTCTACCTCATTAACCGCAGCCAGTGAGCAGTGGAAATACACTGTCACAGAGAAGTGAAGTTGCAGTGTGGCAGAGGAAGTAATTACTGTCTTAGTACTCTGAGGGTTTTATTCTTTCAGTTTGTTCACCAGCTGAAACAATGCATGTTGCCTGTGAAGACAGCACATTATTCACAGATAAAGTACCCTGCAGTCATTCTCTATGGCCCCTAGAAACAAAGCAAAAAGCATTAAATGTACCATTTTGCAATGAACAGTTGGAGATACAGTGAGGATTACTGTCTCTTCCAGTATTACAACTGGTGTTTTCCCACTGCTGAACTCCCCAAAACATACCTGGTTCTCTGATTACTGCTTGCAGTTAAAGCCACAGTTTTCATCCTTCCCAGTTTCTCCCTGACAGCCCAACAAAGATGACGGAGGCACGGTGTTTCCAGTTCTATCCCAATTAAGTCAATGGGAGAGCCCACCATCTAATGTTTACAAAGGCTCACCAGGATCTAGTGATTCCTTCACCCCCCTTCTGCTTTTCATGCCGTAACTACTCTGCAGAAAACGAAAAGAAAACCAACATCTTCCTAATTGATTGAAATGCT